AGTGAAAAATTGGGAATCAGAAACTGCTGCTAGGTCTGATCCCAAAACCTGTGTCCTCTCCACTACACATGCAGAGCAGCGGCAGCTCACGCAGCACCTCTTGGAGTCCCTGGAACTGTGTGGCCCAGCAGGTAAGGACAAGTGGGAGTACGCTATGTTCCAGTGTAGAGAACACAAGCAACCCCCTGGCAATGAAACTTCTCCCTGTAGTAACCACTAGGGGGAAGTATGTACGTCCAAACCCAGAGGCTGGGGATAGGGTAAGGTCATGCTTACACTTTGTCTTGGGGGCGAAGCTATTTAAAACTTTTTAGTGAAGTTTATGATCAATATTTTTTCTAATGTAAGCCACGCAGATACCTGAAGGAAGAACATCCCAGGCAGAGTCAACAGGCATTGCAGTGGTTCAGTAGTGGAGAAACACCATACACCTTGAAGGAACAGCAAGGCCATCAGGCTGCAGGGGAAAGAGTAAGGGAGAGAATACAGGAGCCTTAAGGACATTGGAAGGGTTAGTTAGGGCAGAGGAGAGGATGATCAGGTCTGGCCCATTTTTTTGAAAGATCTTACCAGCTGCTGTATTTAGACAAGACTGTAGGGGCAAGTCAGAGCACGGGGAGAGGCTGGGAGACCAGCCATAAAACCACTGTTGTAAACCAAGAGAGAGGCAACAGTGACTCAAACCTGGGTGATAGTGGTGGGTGGTGAGAAGTGGTTGGATTCTAGATACATTCTGCAGATAACACTATAGGGTTTGCTGACAGCTGGGATGTAGGGGGTGGGTGGGTTGAGAGAGAGGAGTCAGGGATAACTTCAAAGTTTTTGGCCTGAGCAGCGGAGATTGAATTTGCCATTTCCTGAGATAGGAGAGAATGTGAGAGGAACTGGCTTGGGGGATGAAAATCTAATAGGTGGTTGTACATGAGAGTCTAAATTGTGGAAACAGGATGGGGGTTAGGGATCTGATTTGGGGACTAATGGCATATAATAATATTTAAAGCCTGCTGAGATCATGCTGGGAGGGAAGGTAAAATAGGAGAGGTCTGAGGACTGTACCCTGGGCACTCCATCTAGAGAAGGCAGGGAGCTGAGGACAGGATAGGAGTCAAAGATCTGCAGAGTCAGAACTGGGGGGCCAAAGCTGAAGGATTCAGTTCTACTGGGAAGTCCTGCACAGTGAGGGTCCCTGGGGTTTCCCTCCAGGTTTCCTAGGAGAGTGTGGGCTTCATCTGCTTGCCCAGGACCATCTGAACCTGCTGAGGGCAGGGACTGTCCCCAAGGCACAAGTCAGTGTAGGCCCTAGAGTATTTGGGCTCCTGAAACCAGAAGAGATCATGGGCTTTGGCTGCCTCCTCCCCTTCATCCATTTCTTAAACATGGGTGCTCCCTGGGGCTGTATCATCTCTCCCTGGGCCACCTCATCCATCTGTAAACCTTCAAATGCCTCCCTGGGTTTAAAGGCTCTATTTCTAACCCAGGGTTGTCTTTGCCTGGATGGCCCACAAGTACCTCCAATTCAGTATATCTGACTTCCAAACTCTCCTGGTGTCTCCACCACCTATCCAGTCTCCCCTGCCCCAGCACGGGGCCTCCCTCCATGAGGGGTTCATCTTTCTAATGTCCCCTAACCTGAGGCCAGAGGCCAGGACAGAGGTTGGGGGAATGTGGGGGGTGGGGGAGGACAGGAACGCATTCTTGCTGGCCCTGGCAGGGCTGTTCATGGGCCCGTTATGACCCCCATTTGAGGAATCTTCCTTATCAGCTGATGGGGGTTTGGTTGGGTCCCTGGAGGACTCAAAGGCTCAGGCCTAGCAGGCCTAGATTTATGCCCTCATCTGGGTGCCTGGGAGTACCTGGCTCTGAACTATGGGTCTTCTCTCAGCCCCCGCCCCAGCCTCTAAGCCTCCAGCCCCACTCACTGGGCCTCGGACGTCCCCTCCAGAAGCCTCTACAGACACTTAGCACATACATAACCCCTTCAGCTCCTGAGCGAACATGAGCTCGGCAGGCTACCCAGCCTCTCTCCATCACAGTGGAATGTTACTGGCAAAACAAACCTGAAGCACCTCACTCCTCTGAGCCTCATTACCTCATTTTACAGATGAGGAAACTGAGGCCCAGTGATGTTCAATAATGTGCCAAAACTCAGTGGGGGGCACTTGAGTATTTGGGGATTTTTGTTCATTTGGGAGTTTGTTTTGTTTTTTTGAGTGTTGTTATTTTAACTGTACCTGTATATTTTATACATACATTTACAGAATATATTTCACAATTTAAAAACCGAACAAAAACTAGCCAAGGTTTTGTGAGTAAGGACTGTCTGCTCTCCAACCCTTACTGAGCCAGTCTCCCGGGCATAGTGGTGCATGATGGTCAGAGGACCATGAGAGGGCACAGATAACAGCAAGCACACTACACTCCCATGTGCCAGGCACAGTTCATTTCATCATCCCAACAACACTGTGAGTGGGGGCTATTATAACCCTGTCTTACCTAAGGTCACACAGCTAGTGAGTGGTGGAGCTGGAATTTGGATTGCAGCAGGCTGGCCTTATGGTCTGTGCTCTCATGGGCTCTGCAGCACACAGGAGGACTGGGGTCACGCCTATTCCCACTTTAGGGCCAAGAGGTGGGTGTGGTGCTAAAGTCAGACTGCATGGCTCCTCCCACTGAGGGTGTCAGCACCTGAGCCTGGCCCAAGATGGCTGCTCTCACGTCTCCCTGGGCAGCAGGACCCCATCTGAGGTAGGAGACAAGTAGTAAGGGGCTCTTCCCAAAGCCAGGCCCATGAGGCCAAGGACCAAACCTTTATCTGCAAAGCCCTGGAGGGGCCTGGCCTGCAGTTGGTGTCATTCCTGCCCCAACCATGTCCCCATCTCAGCTGCAGCCTCAGCTGGGGCAAGGGGTATGGTAGAGCAGAAAGTGGGGTTATGACTTTCAAAATGCCAGAAAAAGTCAGAGCTGGGGGCTCCCCAGATGCCAATAGATGCAAACCTTATCATACAGATAGGGAAACTGAGGCCCAGAGGGGAGCAAGGTCCTATCTGGTCCACGCTGGGCTTGGGACTGGGAAAATGGAAGAAGAGCCAGGGCTCTCATGGCCCACGTCCTAGCCTGGCTCCTGGAGCCTCGCGAATTGTCTCCTGGGTCCAGCCGGGGAGTGGTTACCAGAGGAGGGAACATGCGTGCGCATGTGTGTGTGTGACAGCATAGACTAGACGAGGCCCAGTGATGCCTGCCCCACCCCAACCTGTCTCCTTTCTTCCTTCCTGCAGTGGGACCTGCCACTCTCCTCCAGACATCTCCATCTCTGCCCCAAGCACTGGGCTCACCTCTCCCCTGGGCCTAGCCTCAGTTCACCCTACCCGCTTTACTTCTCTAACTTCATCTTCCACACCTCCTCCCTCTTTCCATTCCAGCAAAGGTATCTCCATTCTCCTACCTCAGGGCCTTTGCACTGGCTGTACCCTCAGCCTGGCATGCTCTTCCCCCAGGTGTCCACATAGTTGACTTACCTTACCCTCATGAGATTTTTACTCAAAGTCAGCTCAGTGAAGCCTCTAGTCTTCACACTTTCACATACTTCCAATTCCCCTTTCCTGCTTTTCCTCCTCAGTATGTATTACACGTTTTATACAAAATGTCAGCTCCATGAAGACAAGGACTTTTGTTTATCTTCTTTGTGCCTGTGTTCTTGATGCTAGAATGGTGTCTGGCATGTTATAGGCTTTCAACCAATGTCCACTGGGAAAATGAAAGGGGTCTGTGTTCTGTGCACAGAAATGCTCTGTGATGGGTCACAGAGCCTGATCTGAGCCTGACATTGGGATCAGAATCTGCAGGATGTTATGGGCAAAGGGCCTAGTGAGGGTCTGTGGTGGAGCGGTGACAACAGGCAGGGGATCTGGACTGACTCACTGGCTGCCCTGCCTCTAAGGCTAGCTCCCAGGGACATGAGGATGCCAGAAAGCTGACATGGTTGTGAGGGTCAGAGGAGGGGAGGGACCAGAACCCTAGGGCACCTCCCACCTGTGACTAAGGCCTCAGGGTCATGCTTCTCTGGAATGCTGGGAATGAAAAAGACCACCCTCTTCACGTCCACAGGGCCACTGAGGCTGAGAGAAGGAAAGAGGTTTGTCCAGGGTCACAGGTGGAGGCAGCTGGCTGGGACTTCCAGCTGTGGGCCTTTGGTCACTCCCAGGTGTCTGCTCCCCCTAGCTCAGCTCCTCCCACCCTGGGGTGTCAGACACATTCACATCTTGCCCCCTCCCTCCCTGGACCCCCTGTAATCTCAGCAGGGCCCTACCCATCATTCTTCCCACTACCTGTTCTCATGCCATAGCCATTTCTTCTCCATCTTTTAAAATGTGTGATACCTACCAACAAACTCATACTGAAAATTATGTTATAAAACACTCGTGTAACAAACCCATACATCCTCCCCACACACAACAATTAGAAAAGTGTTAACTGCTTGCACTACCCCCATGCTTATCCCCATCTAATCTCCCATCCCTATGTCCCTGGAGAAAGCATCCCTTCTTTTTTCTTTTCAGTTAATTTTATCATATATGGATGCACAAAGACTATATTACATTTTGCTTGTTTTCCAACAGTGTAACTGCTCTCATGCTATATACAGTCTACTCCACAGCTTTTTATGCCTCCACCCTTTTCTGTGTTGTTGCAGGTCACTGTGGTGCCTTAGTTCACCCTGATGGATCATATACTGTTGTAGGTGACTGCACTGCAGTGTAAGTATCCCCTGTTGATGGACTTTTGAGTTGTTTCCAGTACCCCCTGACCACCCACCTGGCAACCGTCCTTAGCCAAAATTTTGGGGGTGCTCACTCCACACTTCCCAGCCACCTCCCAGCTGTGCACCGATGACCCTGCTCACTGATCCCTTTGCATCATCCTTTGGCCCCTGTTATATCCACACTCCACACAGCTGTGACTTCCCCAGTCTGTCTTCAGTTCTCTCTGAGTGCCAGACCACATGAAAGGCAGTATTGTTTATTGAGCGTTTACTCCATGCCAAGCACTATTCTTAGCAGTACACATGTTTTATTTCATTAAATATTCACAGCAACACAAACTGTAGGTAATACTTTTAGACCCATTTTATAAATGAGAAAACCAGGGCCCAGAGATGTTGTTAATTTGCCCAATACTATACACCTCTTGCCCCCAAGTTCCATACGCAACTCAAACTCAACATTTCCACACTGTGATATCATCCTCCTCTCCAAACCAGTTACTATCCGTGCTCCACTTTCATGGGGGTACATCTGTGATGCCCCAGCCCAAGCTGGAAACTCGAAGTCAGCCCTGACTCCTGCTGGGTCCTCCCCTACTCCTTTATCCAATCTGAGCTCCTACAGATTTTACCTCCTGGGAACTGAGTGAATCCTTCCTCTCCTCCTTTTAGATGCCCTGCTCTTCATCCTGGATTTTTGCCTCTCACCACACTCCCATGCAGGCTCCACTATCCCCCTTCCCAGTACCCTGCACCCTGTGGCTCAGATGGGCTTTCTAAATCTAAATCTCACCCTGTCCCTACCTCCAAAAGAAAGCCTGTCTTCCTCATGCAGTAAGGTACAGCAGCCAGCCGCAGAGAGGACACCCTCACCCCCGACTCTGCTCTGTCTTCTCCTGTGGGAAGCTGTCCCAGGGCCTGAGGCTGGGCTCTAAGCCCCCTCTGAGCCCCACAGTCTCCATGCAGACCCCTCTCCACCACTGAGCTCTTTCATCATAATCACCTGTGCCCTTTAAACACTCCTCAAAGGCTCAGCCACTGTGTCATCTCCAGTAATTGTTGATAGGCTGACCACAGAAGCAGCGATTGGATCCATGGGCAACGCTGCCTTCTGAGACCCAGAAAGCAGGATGATTCCTGCCTGGCCCCAGTTAGTGGATCCTGGCTGCCCCACCTCCACCCACCCTCTGTGCCTTCCCCCCATGAGGCTGTTTCCTGTCTCTGCACTTTTTGTAAGGATTTCCCACTCTGCATGTTTCTTCTAAGTCTGGAATTCCTAAATGTGGGAGGTGCTCTGGCACCAGGAAGAAGGAATAGGAGGCCAACCCCTTACCTACTTTCAATCTATACCAGGCATTTTCAAGGTTGGGGGATGATTTTGGCCCCAAGGAAAAGAAATTTGATTCTTGAAAGGGGGAGATGAAAAACATCTTACTCTTTTTTTTAATAAAGTATAGATATACATACAATCCATAAACAGATATACAGTATATCTGTGGTATTAAAATATCATGTGATTAAGAAAAAAAGGTCTAAAAGTCTCCTGAGGGAGGCAATAATGAAAAAAAGGTTGAGAAACTGATCTACACATTGAGGCCTTGTTTGGTCCAAGGATTGGCCAGAACTGAGAGAAAGTCTAGAGTCCTAATCCAGGAGGGCAGCTCAAGGTATCCCCAAGGCTGACCCCCACCAGCTAACTGTTGTCCTTTCCCCAAAACCATCCCCTCCCTATCCCATGATTTAAAGTCCGACATCCTTCAATCTCATCCTATTCCTACTGAGGCCACAGGTCAGCCCTTCCCCATTCTCCCCCAGGGGTGCCCCAGCTCCCAGGACTGGAAGGAGCCAGAAGCCTCTAAACTCTGCTCCCACCTTGGCTGCAGCATAACCCTGGTGTTTCTGAAAAATCCAGGAGGGAAGCCCAACCACAAGATGCACCCAGGAAGTAGGGGTGCCACTGTGGGACAAGGCTTTCTTTATTGGGGTGGGGATGGAGTCACAGATCTTACTTAGAAGTGCTCTAAGCAGATGGAATCACTTAAGGGTGGGACAGACTGGACTGAAGGTTTGCTGTGAGAGGACACGGAGACAGGAGAGCTGGAAGAGGTCTCGGGTGGGAGAGCCATGGTCTTGGGCAACACAGGCATTTGGTTGTCTTCATATACCATTGGGTTCTCCAATACGTGGGCCTCCTGTGGCATGCTGGAGCCAATGAAGACCAAGTAGATGATGCCACCTAGGTAGGCACCAAGGGGCGGCGCCACCACTGGCACCCACCACCAGTCCCTGGCCCTGCAGGCAAGAGGCAGAGGCCTGCTGAGGGGGCTGATGCCCAGGATGGCACCTGCACCCACCTCGGGACAAGACGGGGAGTAGAGCCTGAGAGTAGAGGAGAGACCCCAGGAGTTACCCCTGGCCTGGGCCCCTGGTCAGCTTCAGCTTGGTTCAGGGACTGGGGGTGTTCTGGGACAGGAGTGACATTCAGTCCGCGGCAGGATCTGCATCAGTGTTAATCTGGGGAAAGTTGGGACCCACTCCTGCCTCCCCAAGCCACCTGGGAGCCTTTCAGGACTCTCCTGTGCTGTTCCTCACACCACCCCCAACCCTTCTGCATGCCCGCGAGCCGCAGAAAACTCACAGGAATGGGCAGGACAGTACCTGAAGACCTGTACACCCCAGCCAGCGATGAAGGTGAAGAAGCGGGGAGGCAGGTCCCGAGATGGGTTGATGGCATATCCTGTGTTCATGCCCAGGGACACTCCAATTATGAGGATGAGGATGCCAATCACCAGTGCCTGTGTCCCTTGCAGTGCTGGGTTGTTCCCCTTGTCCGTGATAGCAAAGAGACACAGCTGGAGCATCCCCGTCACTAACACCTGGGGAACAGATACCATGGCAGGTACAATCGGGGCCCTCAGGCCAGACCCACAAGCAGAGACATGTCTTGCTACAGTTCTCATCCAGAGTTCTTGTCCTCTCTATCATGAGGGGCTGCCTGCTGAGGCCCTTCCTGAGTGGGGAAGGCTTGAGGCGGGGCCCTACCCTAGACCACTGACCTCATCCAGGAAGCCCCTCCACAGCGTCATGTGGTCAGGAAGATAGGTGGCAAAAATGTTAGCAGTGGCTGTAGGACCGGTCACTGTCAGATGTCCGCCTGAGTAGTCGATAATGGCTGCTGTGGAGACACAGACTGAGTGTGAACCTGCCCCCAGCTAAACCCACTGGAGTCCCAGAAATCAGGGCAGAGGGTACAGGGACAGGGAGCACCTCCAAGACTTTTCTTTCCCAGGAATTTTCCCAGGCCAGGACACTGAGGTCAGATCTGCCCATGTTCCAGAGGAGGAGGCTGAGAGCAGAGACAGAAAACCCAGGGCAGGACACTCACGGTAAAAGAGGCAGTAGATGGTGGCAGCAGCCAGGAAGGAACCCAGGAACTGACCCAGTACGTACACAGGAAACTTCTTCCAGGCCATGCGGCCTAGTGCACAGTTGGTGAAGGTCAAGGCCGCATTCATGTGGGCTCCTGTGGGGAAGAGCAAGTGTGTAGGGACAGTGAAAGCAGAAACAAACAGCAATAATAAGTAATATTGAAAGCAACAACAAAAATTATCGTGACATGTGTGGAGTGCGTTCACCCATTTAATCCTCACAAAGGACCCCATGAGGCAGGGGCCACCATCTCCATTCCACCATTAAGGAATTAAGTGAAGGGTGGAGAAGTTTACAAGCTTGCCTAAGTTCACCCAACTGATAAAAATGGTGGGTTTTCCCTCCCGAGGGCCAGGAAGGGTGCGGTGCAGGATGAGCTGGAGGAGGGGCTGGCTGGAGGTGGGCAGGAAGAGCCTGCAGGGGACACAGGGCCTCGGGCTGGGCCTGGGCTCACTCACCAGAGACGTTCCCAGCCACGTGCACTCCCATGGTGACTCCAAAGCCAAAGCCCAGGTTGACACCGAGGTAGCTCCCAAATCTATCTCCCACCACCATGTGGGCCACAGCACCAAGACCAAACACCTGCGAGGGAGGGCCTCTGAGGGGACAGCCTGCCCAAAGCCCCTCCTGCAGAGAAGGGCTCAGAGCCCACCCTGAGCCCTGGACCTCCCTACATCGCCCTTGGAGACCCTCTGCCGTACCCACTTCCTCCAGAAACTTCCCTCCTTTTGACCTCCCTGCTCTTGCCCCCGGTCCAGGCCTCTAAGACCTGACCAGCGAGAGAGTGGGAGAGGGAAGGTGGTTGTAAAAGCAGCTGGAATGGGGCAACCACTCGGGAGCTCTTACAGACACATACAGGCCCCTGGACCCCAAGCCCACCTGAAACTCAGAGGAGGGGGCAGGGCTTTGAAGAGGGTGTGGCTGGTGTGGATGGAACCCTTCAGAGCATCTCACACCGGCCCAGCCTGCAGGAAGTTTCTTCAGGCGATCACTGAACTTCAAACCCAACTCTGCTGGGACTTTGCCAACATCCCCCATCAGCCCTATGGGTTCTGCCTCTCCTGCCTCCAGCAACATTCCCATTGCCTTCAGGCATCCTTCCTGAATTTCTGGCTTTTGCCAATCCCTCACTGCTGGGTTCAGCTGACATCCCCTACCCCTTAACACCCTTCACAAGAGTTTAGAAGCCTAAAACTAGGCCCTCACTCACCCTCCCCCACCCACCAAGAGGACCCACCTGAATCTGTGTCTACCTCCCCTTCAGCTCTTCTCTGCTTCCTGAACCCAGCCTTTCTCTCCCCTGCAGGAGCCTCCCTCTTGCTCTATCTTTCACCCTCCCCTTGACTGGATCCCACAGACTCGGGTCTCGTCCTTCCTAAAAGTAAACCTTCCCACCTTAGCCCAGCCTTCCCATCTAGCGGGGGACTCCTGGCTGCCTGTCTCTGGGTCACTCAGGCTCCAGGAAAGGACCCACTGACCGGTTCCTTTATCCCTTCCCCTGCTCTCCCTCCTCAGTCTGGCTTCTGCTTCCACACGTCACAGATGCGGAAGCTCTCTCCAAGGGCTCCAGAGTCCCAGAAGTCCCTTTAGACATTTAGCTTACTTGACTTGGTTGGCTTTGACCCTCTGAACCACTCAGTGCTTCTGAAAATTCCCTGCTCTAAGGCCTCCGTGACAGCCCTCCTGGTTTCCCTCTTACCTCAGCAGCCTTTCCCCATCTACAGTTCCCACATTCTTCTCGCTTCATCTGCCTCATAATACAGATGGCCCCAGGGCTCCATCCTGGCCCTTTTCTCATCTCTCCCCACTCTTCTGGGTCTTCCAACCAGGTCTGTGGCTGCAGATATGCTTGATGCACTAAAATTCCCCATACCTCCTGAAAGCCAGATCTCTGCTTCCAAATACCTACTGGAAGTCTGGGTTTTCCAGAGGCACCTCAGGCTCTATGTAGAAAGCTCACCATCTCTTGGAAAATCTGATTCCACATCCTGGCTGCCAGAGCCAGAAATCTGAATGTCACAAATAAGAGCTTCTGCTCCCCCTTGCCCTATACTCCTCTTCTCCCACATCTAATTATCTCTGCTTACATTCTCCCCAGATCTTACCCAGCCTCCTCCATGCAGCCAGAGTGACCTTTCCAACACAAAAATTTGATTGTGTCTACTTTTGTTCAGACACTCACTGGTTCCTCTCTATTTCTTGGATAAAGTCCAGACTCTATAGACCATCATTTAAGACCATTTATAATACCTGCTCCAGTGTTCTCTGTGTTCAGCAGTAGTATTGCTACTAAATAATAATAATCATTTATTGAGCACCAACATGTGCCAGGCACTGGGAAGCAAGTTTTATCTATCACCTCCTTTAACCTTTATACCCCCAATTTATGTGTTAGGTACTCTTACTCTCCCAGATCAGCAACCCAAGGTTTAGAGAAGATGAATAGCTTTGTCTAGAGTATACAACCTGCATGTCGTAAGCCAGAACTTGAATCTAGGCAGTTTACTTATGCCAGACAGCCTCAAACCAAACAACCACAGCTACCTGCCTGCCTCTCTTTCTCATGCCTCTGTCTTTTACATATGCTGTTCCCTTCTGTCTGGGAACCTGATACTAGATATTGAAAAATTGATACTCTAAGGCCACACTTAGATGTCACCTCCTTTGAAAAGCCCATTGATTTGGACATGTTGTCTCTGAGGTTCCACTAGATGTCCAGGCTGCTGGAAATCAGAGTTCATAAATTTGTGTCATCTAATATGATGACCAATATAGCTAATACGTACTCAAAATGTGGCTAGTCCAAATTGAAGTCTGCTGTTAAGTGTAAAGTATGCACCAGATTTCAGGTACTTAGTAGGAAAAGGAGAATGCAGAATATCTTACTAACAATTTTTTTTTGGTATCATTAATCTACAATTACATGAAGAACATTACATTTACTAGGCTCCCCCCTTCACCAAATCCCCCCCACAAACCCCATTATAGTCACTGTCCATCAGCATAGTAAGATACTGCAGAATCCCTACTTGTCTTCTGTGTTATACAGCCCTCCCCGTGCCCCCCCATATTACACATCCTAATCATAATGCCCCCTTTCTTTTTTTACTAACAATTTTGTGTTGATTACATGTTGAACTGGTAATATTTTGGATAAATCAGTTAAATACAATAATTATTAAAATGAATTTCATCTGTCACCTTTGCCTTTGTACTATGACTACTAGAAAATTTTAAGTTACATATGTGACTCATACTGTGTTTCCCTTGGACAGTCCTGTTCTTGAGATTTTAACAAAGAAAACCTGGAGAATTATGGACTGAGGCCCACAGTTGAAGCCACCAGGGAGGATGAAGATTCCTGCAAGAGGGTGCAAGGTAAGAAGGCAGCAGAGGGCTACACCTAGAGCCACACATCAGCCCTCACAAGTGGGCATTAGAAACCCCAGCTGGAGCAGCTGGAGCTGGGGGAGGGTTACCAAGTGGGAGAACAAAGAAAGAATGTGCCTTGGATACCAGAGAGAAGCAGAGTTTCCCAAGGAGGTGTGTGGTCTGCATAGTCACTTGCAGCCTCTGGGTCAAGTGCATAAAAGGCAGAAAGCATCCCTTTGGATGTGACAATCCAGAGGTCATTAGTAGCGTGGTGAGCATTATACCATCAAGCCATGAGGACAGAAGCCAGATCCCAGAGACTGAGAGGTGAGTAGGTGATGAGGAAGAGTTCGAGGGCACCAGTGTAGACATCTCTTTGATAACCTGCTTGAGAATGATGGAGGGAAGAATGTGATAAATGGTGGGGTTCACAAGTGAAGGGAGGGATGTTTTGTTTTATACTGTGCCATTTTAAGTAAAGACACATCAGTATGTCAAAGTTGAGAGGGGAAGAGGCTGAAGATGAAGGGGAGAGAAAAGGCAAGCCAAGTACCTGAGTAAACTGGAGGGGTGGGACTGGTGCGGGGGTGGGACTGGCATGGGGTCCTCTGTGAAGGATGAGGCCCCACATTAGCCAAGGGGATTTCTGTGGATGCACAGGAAATGATATATGGTAGTGAGAGGAACAGGTGGATGAGGACCAGACACAGGAAGCCCACCTGATGGATTTCTCTGTCAAGCTGGAGATCAAGCCATTTGCTGATTAAAAAAAAAAAAAAGACAGGCAGAGTATAGATCAACTTTGGGGTAGACAGAAAAAGTGAAATGGCCTGGATAGGGCAGGGGCGACGCAGGTGAGCAGGGCATTGGGTCCTGGACAGGTGCAAGGGTGCCCAGAGGCAGGCTGGCTTAGGGCCAAAGGTAGCATGAGTCAGGAGAGAAAAGGAACAGACTGGGGGTGGGGATGGGGAGTGGGGCCAGGACAGACTGACAAGCTTGGAGTGTGGGGTCTAGAGGTGCAGGGTCTGGAGCAGGCATGGAGCGTCTCAAGACAGAGGGTCCTGACTTCCAAGAAGAAGCTCAGAACCATTCGCTAAATATAACAAATGAAGGAATAAATACCACATGATCTCCTGTATCAGAGTTGCCAGCTGGCAGCCCATGGACCTGATCCATCCAACACACACATTTTGTTTAGCTAACTTGGTTTTGACAGGAAGTTTCAGCTTCTGTTGAAAAATGAGAAGTTCAGGCAGCGCTGGCCTGCACTCTGCCCTACATGGCACCAATTAGCTGAAGCAGTGGCTGCTAGGTCTTTGCACAGGTCCAGACCCTACAGTTAGCCACAGTCCACATCACCCTTTCTCTCTCGGGCCCCTGTAGCATGTAAGTTTGCAACTCCTGCCCTACGGCTCATGTTCTACAACAGGTTCTCCAGGCCTCCCCTCCCCAGTCAGTCACTGTGGCCCAGCAGCCTGTCCAGTTCCCAGTAGCTATGAAGCCAGCCCAGAGCGCACCACCTCCGGAGGCTGCAGAGTGGAACCAAGCGGGACAATCTGCTTTCCTCATCCTGCCTACAGTAAATGGGGCCCAAGGTCACACTAGCTTTTCTGGCAAAAGCTTTACCCTGATGACTCACTGAGCTTCCTATCAACTGAAAAAGCCCCCCTTTTTGGCACAGGCCTGACAACTAAAAATAGCAAAACAGTGTCTTATATGAGTTTAAATTTCACAAAAGTTATTTTACAAATGTTACTTCCCTTCATTCCTCACAGCAAATCTGCATGGCAACTGTTTCTGTTCCCACCTACAGATGGGGAAACCAAGGTCTGGGAGCAATCTTAAAATACCCAAAGCCTAAAAGTGAGGGCCTTACCTCCACTGGGGGAGAATTACCAAACCAGGGTACTGAAAATCCTGCCATAGGTAAGCTAAAGGACAGAGCATAGAAACTAAGGGTGAAAACTGTGATATTAAACTGGACTGGACTTAGTCTTAATTTAAAATGTAACCTTGGGCAAGTGACTTAATCGTGTGGAGCCTCAGTTTCCCCATCTGTGAAATGAGGATAATACTAGAACCTCCCTCACAGGGCTTTTTTGGGAAGATGCTGCACGTAAGTGATTTAGCATCGTAGCACCTGGTGTGCAGTAGGTATGTAGTGGGTGTCCAATAAATCTCAACAAAAGGAAATAAACATGGATGTGGGCAGGCATCAATGCATGTGGGTGGTGCCTGCTTCCCTAAGAGCTCTCTGAGGAGGCACCTCCTGCCTCTCTGGTTCCAAGGTTTAACAGTCCTCCTGGGGCTGGAATGTCTTGTCATAAATGAATGACTTTGCCCTGAATTAAAGCGGGACAGGATCCAGCTGCTGCCCTCATAGCTCAGGAGGGTGGGTAATGGGGGAGGGGCAGAGGGCAGGAGGTAGGGACGGAAGAGCAGAGGAATACCTGTCATAATGACAGAGATCAACACATGTGTCCTACATGTGTACTGGGTGTCAGGCCCTTGACCTTTTCACACAAGGCTGCCAGCTCTGTCAGTGTCACATTTACCAACAAGGAAGCTAAAGTTCTCAAAAGTTAGAATACTTGTGGACTAGCACAGCTAGAAGAGAGCAAGGCAGGGAATCAAACCCAGCTCCAACGCCCCTGAAGGCCCAGTTCAACTCGGAGAGACCTGCCCAAGACTAGCTGGTGACTCAGGGGTAGGACCAGGATAAGAACCCAGGTGTCCAGAGTCCCCTGGGCTTCATGGGCCCCACCATCTCCTACACTGTGGCTAAGTGCACACACACTCACACTCACAACCACACACACCCAGGCACACATACACACATTGCCTCCCCCACCCCCACTCCCTCAGGCGCTCCTGGCCACCTTAGCTTCCATTCCCAGAGGCTACCCCTTCTTTTTCGTGGACCTGGGCCTGCTGTAAGCAGCAAAGAAGCATGGCTACAGCTTACAGGCAGAGACTGGCTGAGTCAGGTGGCAGGGCTGAAGCAGGCAGAGAGATAGGGAGTTTCTAAGAAACTAGAAACCCCACTTGCAGTCTGGTTTCTGTCCCATCATCCACTAACAGAGCCCTTGCCAAGGTCCCCAGTGGCCTCCACATTGCCAAATGCTATGGATGCATGCGGGTGCTCACCTTCTCTGGCCTGCTGCAGCCTCCCACACTGCTGACCAGTCCTTGCTGCCTGTCAGCACTACACAAGCCGGGCTGCTGTTCTGTTTGTGTACGTTCGGACAGAGAGAATGAATGGTTCCCCCTCTGTGTTGATGACATTGCTTTCTCCAGCCCAGCCTTTCTTCCCATTGAGGATTTTCAAACCCTGACACTCAATGTTCTCTCACTAATCTCTTTATTCAGTTTCTCTTCTCTCCACTTCCAGCCATGACCCTGACACCTCCCCGCCACCCCATGGTTTCAGTCTGTCACCTTATACTCTGAGCCCTTTCTCTCCCAAAAAGATTGGATGAGAAAGACAGAGCTCTTCCCTATGCTACTCCCTCAGGCTCCCAGCTCGGAGGCCAGGAAATGAACACTGTGACCTGGGGGTCAGCAGTGGGGTGGGGGTCATGGATTGACTTTACTGAGCTCCACTTTCCTGAGGCCCTGGGGTTCATGGCCCTTCCACAAAGCCCACACACCCTGGGCCTCCCACCTACTCACCATCATGACATACGTGCTCATGAGCTCGGCCAGGAACTCTCGCACCATCTCCTTCTGTAGTATGTCTTGCATCCTTGTCATCACAGGCCATGAGACCATCTTGGAGTTGTGGGTGGACCTGCAGCAGCAGCCCAAGCCCCTGGGCAGAGATGAGACTAAGTGCACTTGCTGTCCATCGGCCCTTCGACTCTGGCTGGCTGAGTTAATGGGTAACCCAGCAGCTTCTCCACATGTACCTCCTCTTGCTCAGGGCAGCTGGTACAGCTGGGATCAGAGACACCTGAGAATCACAGGGATCTGGAGAAGGACGGGTAGATGGCCAGGCCAGGCCAGGCCCCTCCTTTCTTCTGGTGGGGGCTGGACCGGTGGGAAGGGTACACCAATGAGGCCACTTTGCAAAGGGGGCTGTTGGGAAGCCAGTAAGTGCCATCTGTGGTGCCATGAGCCTCCAGGGTGAAGCAGATGGGAGAGAACAGACAGGAAAGCAGAGCTACTTTGTCTTTCTTCCTGCCTATGTGCAGGCACCTGACCCCTGGGGACACTGGCAGGCCATCAGGCTGGGCCTGACAACAGCGAGGCACTCTGCAGATCGCACAGGGTGTGACAGAGTCTGCTCCCAGGCTCTGTAACAGCATCAGGTTCTGCTGAAGACAAAGGGTTCTGCAAAGCATACCAGGCTCTGCAACCAGGTCAACAAAAGCAGGTGTTAGTGAGTGGGAGAATGGAGGAGCAGGAGATGAGAGGGAGGGAGGGAGGAAAAGAGGAATTGGATCTTACTCCCTCATGTATCCTCAGTGCACAGCACAGTGCCCGACACATAGTAGTTGTGCAATACCTGTTGTCAAATGAAAACTGAGAATTCATCTGTCTCACTCTCCACTAGATGCCCAGAACTTCCTCCAGTGCCTGGCACATGGTACATGCTCAATAAATATTTGTTAATCAATGCATGTTGGATGGGTAGATAGACAAAAAAGTGGGTTACAGGCTCTCTGGTCTGTTTGGGGTGGGGGTGGTAATATGACTTGAGTTTGGGGTAGAAGATGGGGTCTGGAGCCTAAAGAGGAAGAGGGTACAGACATCTCTTAGTGTGGCTTTAGTGTTTTCTGACTGGTGACCCTCCCCCTGCTGAATGCCTGAAGCTGACACCATCCCCTCAACCACATCACCCTGCTTGAGATGTCAGTAACAGTCACCCCCCAACCCCTGGATTTCCTATCCTTACAGCAGCAAAGAGTAATCAGAGGGAGAGAGAAGTGTAAACCAGGCATGGATAAAACGCCTTCCACTGTCCTACCCTGCGTTTGTATCTCATCCACCCTAGTCCTTGCTCTGTCCTTACCCCAGGGAAATAAACCCAGGCTGAGCATATGGCAGGGAATGTGGGGTTGCCTAGATGATCCACTGACCCCCATCCAGCTCCAGCTCCTACCCAGCATCATAGTGTCCCCCTTATGTCTATGACCAGTGTCCTCAGCCTTGGAGAAGAGCGTGAGCAGCCTGAAGCAGGCAGGGAGGTGGACAGAGCAGGAGGCCAAAGACACCAAGAGCATTCTGGAACCCTGGCCCCTACACCCCCGGCCCACACAGAAGGCAGGACACAGTAGACAACAAAAAACACTAAACAGCCACCAAAGATGGAGTGCTTATACTATACTCTGTCCAGGCATTATACTAAGGACCATTGTCATGATTCCTGCTCTTAGAAAGAAAAACCGTTAATTAAGCAGTTACTATGAAGCATGAGGAGTGTTACCACAGATAAAGAGTGAGCACTGTGGGATTTCAGGGAGGAAGCAAATGACAGAGGAGAGGGTAAGAGGCTGTCCCAGAGGAAGGGAAATTTAGGTTGAGAATAGAAAGCTGGCCAAATGAAGGAGCATCGGGGAGGCAGGGTAAAGTTCTGTGTATTGGAATGGCCTGGACAAAGGCTTGCAAATAGACAGTATCTGATGTGTGGAGGAATTCCACAAGGATGGACTGGCCAGAAAAAGGAGTGAAAGTGACATGAGATGGGCCCAGAGGGGCACAGGCAGATGGTAGAAGGCCCCATGGCCTGTGTTAGGGAAGCTGAACTCAATCAGAGGGCCATGAGGTTAGGTGGAGGATTAAGCAGGAGCATTGCCTCCTCTATGGAGGCAGGGATAAGGGAGCAGGAGAGGAGGCGTGGTGAGCAATCAGGAAGCTTCTGAGGTGATGGCACCCTGAGCCTAGAAGGTGCTGTGGAGATGGCTGGAAGAGAGTCAAACTGACAAACTTGGTGTTTGATAAGGGAGAAGAACAGAGAGGGTAGTGTCTGGCCTATGTTCTGGCTAGAGCAGCAGAATGACACGTGAGGCATAGAAGAGAAGCTGCAGGCTTAGGCAGGAGGATGAGGAATCCCCTTCCGGGTATGTTGAGTTTGAGAAACCTACCAGACACTTAGGTGTAAATGACCAACAAGGAAGCATCTGGTCATGTGGTCTTGTTTGGAGAGATACACTTAGAGGTCAACTAATCATAGGGTGTAGAATGAGAAACGGGCATCTAAGAAAACTAGCCTGCAAACCAAGAAACTAAAAGCCAACCATATAAACACCCAAGTAATATCTGCTAACCAAGGAACTAATAGCTAACAACTCAGCAAACAACCCTTCAACTAACTAATCAATCTAGCAACTTAACCAACTAAGTGACTCCCCTATGAACCAGCTCATTTATCCAACCCACCAACCAACCAATCAACCAACCAACAGTAAATGAACCAGGCACCAGTGATACAAAGTCTCTACCCTTGGACTGTCTCATCTAGTGAGGAGATGGATAATGGCAGCACTGTCAGAGAAAAGGAAGCCTAGCATGGCACTTGAGGCCTGCAGAGATTTTTGATGGCCTAAGGTGGCTGTCGGGGAGTAGGGGAGTAGTATAAAGAATGGTGGGAGTGAGCACATTCTAAATCTTTTAGGAGACTGGCGACATGCCTTACTCTGAGGCATGGGGGAATCATGAGTATCAAAGACAAGGTCTTGATTTCCGGCAACAGAAGAGAAGGGGATCTGTGACAGCAGAGACCACAGGAGGTGGAGTGGGCTTGGGAGAGTAGAGGAGGGTGTTTTCAACTGGGACAGAGGTGCTGGTGGGACACCAGTGGATCGTTAGAAACAGGGTCTAAAGCCTAGGAGAAAGGCCTGGGCTATGTCATCAGCACAGAGGGGGAACTATTCATTCTCTCTGTCCAAAAGTATGCAAACAGAAAAGACCCCTGCTTGTGTGGAGCTGACAGGTAGCAATGAAATATAAGAAGAAAGTACTCTTGTGTGTTAGAAGGTAGTGCGTCTCATGCGTAAAGATAGTGCAAGGAAAAGGGGGTGGGCATGGTTTTAACTGGGCAGTCAGGATATGCCTCATTGAGAAGGTGGCATTTGAGCGAAGACATGAGGGAGGTGAGGGAGTGATCCCCATGGATAATTGCAGAAAGAGCATTTTGAGCAGACGGAATGGTCGGTGGAGGATTTAGCATGTTTGAAGGAAAGGAAAGGAGGCTAATATGACTGAAGTAGGGAGAACAGGGGTTGGGTGGGTGAAGGTCAGAGAAGAAACAGGGACTAGACAGGCAGGGCCTTGGCCTTTGCAAGGACGCTGGCTTTTATTTCATCCCAAAGAGACCTGAGCCTGAGAAGGGGACAGGCAGTGAGTTCAGTTCAGTGGAGCACCACCTACCTAGGGACAGTTGGAACCCACTGACCAACTCCTTGACCCTCATATGCAGGCCTTTCTGAGCCTCCCCTCATCCCAGGGCCTAGCTGTGTTTGGCTATGGATGCAAGGGAGAGAGGCCTTCCCTTGAGCCCCATGAGCTAGAGGGGGTGGAAAGAAGGTATGTGGGGATCAGCTGTAATGGGGGAGAGGCTGAGATTGGAGCAAGGAGGGCACTGGGTGGGGGACAGGAGGCTGGGGAAGGGGAGCGTGTGGGGTGCTTACCGCCTCTTCCTGTCTGCTTGAGTCATATTCTGTCTTTGGAGCCAGATGCTGTGGAGCCAAAGAGAGGTCACTGGGGCTGGGGGCCAAGGTCAAAAAACTTGAAACGACATTCTCATCAGACCTCATCAAAGGGGAGAAGCCACAGGGATAGATAGCTCCTTCTAGTTCTAACCCCTCAACTCAGCCAAGCTGGCAGCAAAGGGGGGGGGGAATGGGTGTGCTCCAGCCAATGGGGAGAAGCCCTGGAGTCCCACCCCTTTACCATGCTGGCTTCAAGACCCCTGACCCCTAGACCAGGACTTTAGAGGTCCTCCTGACCTTCCCAAGTCTGAAACCCAGTTTTGGACAGTGGAGATGCCTATAACCTCCCCTCAGTGACTCCACCCTCACACACACACATGTTATTACCCTTAGTCTCACCTCAAGCCCTCTTGCTGCTGCTTTAAATGGTGGCTTTTCTGGGGCATTTTCCTTGCATACACACACACACACACTCACACACACACACAGGATGAGGTTCTAAAAATTCATTTTGTCCATACCCCCACTTCAGAACAAAGTCTACCCTCTCACCTTTCCTGAAAATTCCCCCTTGTATTCCCATTTTCCCTGCAAATGATAACATCAAGGCAACCCTTGAGTTTTCCTAGCCTGTATGTTCCCGTTCTCTAGCCAGTTCCCTCTACCTGCAGCACAAGTTCACAACCTGGCCCCAACTGCAGAGCTCCTCAAGCTCCAGCCACAGCCTCTCAGGAGGGGCCTCTGCTCAGGGGTAAAACCACTCCAGCAAAGCCAGCAGCCATGCAGCTCTGATCTGCAGCCCTTCTGTTTTGATCTAGTGTTGCTGGTCTCCACATTCTCCTTGTACCAGCCTAATGTTCTGCTGACAGCCCAGCCCAACACATCCTTCCAGTCCCAGCTCCACCACTGATCTTCCAGGTAAGGAAACTGAAGCCCAGGAGAGTAGGACAGGTCCATGTCATGCAGCAGCTCAGGACTAAACCGGAAGAAACATCCAAACCTTCAGCTCCCAACTGGGGCTTCTTCCCCAGCTAGACCCACAGTTATTTCCTCCCCAGAGGGTCCTCAGAGAATGGCAGCCCCAGGCCTAGGACCACAGAGAGGCCCTACATCCCAGCCCTGCCTGAGGCCAACTCACCCTACTGAAGTGCCTTCTGTTCCACAACATCTGCTTTGGGGGCTTCCTAGTTACAGCTGGTCTTGGTCTGTCCCTCCATGACTGTCCTGGACTCTGACTGTTCCCCTAGCTGGGATTCCACTGTCCTTCTGTCCCCAGCTAAAGCCTGCCTTTCAGACCTCCTCGGGTGGCCCTGAACACTTCTCTGCACTGTTCCTCCAGGGGAGAGGTCAGTGGAACAGGGGTTTGGCCTGTGCTGTTTGAGCCAAGTCCAGATATACTGCCCGAAATAGCATCCGTCTCCCGCCAGCAGTGCCACAGAAACTGGATTCTAAGGCAGCCCTTGTGAGGTCAGAGGTGGAGCTCCGGGTGGGCACTCTGGGCCTTATGGTCTCCAAGCCAGGTGTCCAGGACAGAGCCACTCCTGGGAAAGCCCTACCAGGACCCCAGTCCTGGGAAAGACTTCACAGGCTCCTGAGCCCCTGGTTGTAGGGAGAGCTGTGCAGAAGGGAACGGTGGTGGAAAGTTCTGAGAATCAACAGCCAGGTGAAAGGGTTTGGGAGAAGACCCTGGGTCAGTCCTAGGGAGCTCCAACTCTGAAGGAGGAAGGGGAGACTCAGGCCCTAGACTCGGGCCTTCTGGTCTAAGGAGAAGGAGGACACACAAGCTGTATTTTCAGGGAAAGCCCAGTCTGAGAAGGGAGATAGAGCCTAGGCCTTGTCCTCTGGGTCCTTAGTCTGGGGAAAGGAGGAGAAGCCTGTGCCTTGTCCTCTGAGAGCCCACATAGGAATCAGAGAAGAAGAAACCTAGGCCTTGTCCTTAGGAAAACGCCTCCTTTGGGGACAGCAAGTGAGGCCTCTATGAAGGAGTCAAAGCCAGACTAGAGTGTGGGGCTCCCACCCAGGGCTGTGGAAGCTCAGTGACCAAGGTGGGGTCATGAGGGAGCCAGAGAAGACTTCTGAGCCAGAGCATGGTGGGGCCTCCCAGGATGGGGCAGGTGGGATTTGAGCAGTTGACCCACTGGTGAGACACAGGGGAGTGGTTGCTGGTCTGCAGACTATAAGGAGACTCACCAGGTGGAGTGGTGTATGGTGGGTGGTAAGATCAGGAGCTTCTAAGGCTGGGCAGCCCATTGGTTGTAAGGAGGCAAGATAGTACTTGGTTGCCCAAAGCCAGCCCTGGTAATAGAACTGTCCTCTAGAGGGTGCCAATAAACTGGGCCAGGTCTCCACCCCAAGTTGCCCTGCAGGTCACTCTGCAGGGAGAGGCAGGGGTAGGTTGCGTTCCAAGGGCTTCCTAGTCAGAAGCTGTCCTTAAAGACCAAACTCTTCCACTACACCCCCCAGAGCTGAGGCTCTGCCCCTCACTCCCCTCTGCAGACTCAAGTGGGTTCTGGACACTAAATCCTTCCCATAGGAAGGGAGAGATTATCTCTAAACGTGTGGACACCTGCCCTTGTTCCTTTCCTGTGTGTGCTGTCGGGGTCAGAGTGAGATAAGGGGCAAAGGTGGAGCAGGAGTTTTATATGAGGTCAAAGCCTGGGCAGACTTTAACTGGGCTAGGATCCAGTTGGTGAGGGAGGGAATTGGGATCCATGCTGAAGTCAGGAATGGAGCCCAGGCTCACTTACTGGGCTGGGTGCTGAAGACCCAGAGGTGGAGAAGACACTGTCTACCTGTCTCTTAGGAGAGATGGATAAACAGCAGGTGACTTAGGATACACTGTGATACAGTGGAAGGAATACAGGCAGCAGCTAAGCCAGCCTAGGGGGATTAGGGCAGGAATCTTCTAGGAAAGGTGATGGACATGAGTCCTCCAAGGTGAGCAGGGGCAAGAGGGCATTATTCAAAGCCACTTGAAGCCCAGTGATTGTGAGAAAGCCTAACATATTCTGGGAACTGTAAGTGGCTTGCAGAGGTCTGGGGAAGTGGGCAGGGATAGACCGTGAAGGGCTTTGTCAGCCAAGACATGGAGTCAGACTTTATCCTGAGACTTGAGGAGCCCTTGGAGGATTCTAAGCTAAGAGAAGAGCAACATAGCCAATCTGGGGTCCTTGAGGCCTGGGAACATGGAGGAGGCAGGGGTACAACTAGGCCTGAGCTTGGGAGAGAGGTCTGGCTGTAGAAAGAGAAAAAAAGATATCAACCCCTGAGCATTCACCTCCAGAGCTGATGGGATTGCCAGGAAGCACAAGGGAGTGGAGCAATGGATGGGGACAAGATTTGGGGGATAGGAGGGTGACTGTGAATGAGCAGGTGAGGAGGCAGATGAAAACTCAGACCCTAGGCTGCCAAGATGCCACCAGGGCCTTGGAAGGGCTGTGGCCTCAGAGTTTGGTGCTGAGGAGGGACCAGTTTTGATGAGCTGGTGTGATGGAGGCTGTCCACAGCACTGAAGGGGTGGAGGCTGAGGAGGCAGAAAGTTCAACTGTGCAGAGAAGAGAAACAGTTAAGGTTGGATGTTTGGATCAGAGTTAGGCCTAGACATAGCCTGGGGGTATCACCAGAGCCAATGGGAATGGTAGGGACAGAAAGGGGACACCTGGGGTCCTGTCTTCACTGATGGGCTCTGAGTAAAACTGCCAGATAAAATACAAGATGCTCAGTTAAGTTTTACTTCCAGATAAACCGTACTTGCAATATTTGGGACATACGGATACTAAAGCATTATCCATTATTCCTTGAAATTCAGATTTAATTGGGTGTCCTCACTCTGAACTGCAGTAAGGACCCCTCCAGATGCCTTACACACTGACCTGGATTTGAGTCCTAGCTCGGCATCAAGCTCACTGCATACCTTGGCTCTGTGCCTGCCTCTGGGCCTCTGTGTCCTCATCTGTGAAATGGGGATGGGAGATATGTGGTCCTCCCACCCAGTTACCTTTGACAGAGTCCAAGAAAAGGTTTATGAAAGCAGCAACAGGCAGTCAGGTGAAAAACTAATTTGGTGGGAGTGATAAATTAGTTGAAAATGAATTGGTAATATCAGCATGCTACAGGGCAATTTTTACAAACTTTGATGTGTCTATAAGCAGTTAGTCTCTCCTTCAGAAATTGTTTAGTTTTCCTATCCTAATTTTACATGCAGTACACTAATTTTGCTAGTGAAGTGTTGAAAATAACCCATTTCTTACTGACTACACTAAAAATCTTACAATGTGGACTGCTGATTGAGGACATCAATGTTCAACCTAACCAAAAATTTAAATATTTATGAACACATAGCCAACCAAATGGAGCAGATATAATTGTCTGTCATCAGAGTGGAAATTTTTAAAAAACAGAAAGCAAATTAAAAATCTCAGATCCTTTTCTTTTATTACCTAAAACACAAACAAGCCAAAAGAACCTTAAAAGACCTATTTCCCTCCATGACTACTACAAGTACTACCAGCATGCTGCTGGATTTCTTTGTAGTCCTCTTTTTATATGTACACATCCCCTCCCCACTTTGTCAGCAATAAGTAGAATGAAACTTACATAAAATCTGTAAAGTACATTTTTCACTCATTTATTGAGACTGTCTTTCCATGCCAATATCCACGTCCCCATCATGTACATGATTGTACAGCACAGAATGTCTCCAATTTCAAATGTATCCAACTCTTCTCTATTGTAAAGGTCATGGGGCAGGTACAAACTGGCTGAAACCCAGTAAGGATGAAAATGCAAATAGAAGTTTTAAAACATCAGAACAAAGAAAAGTGCCAAAAAATGCTAAAACTTCTCTGAGTTTCCCTCAAACTCCCCCAAAAGTGCTGATGTGTAAAATGACTAATCATTTCAGCTATTTGTTTCAACCAACATGCCATTTGATTAACTTACCACATAAACTGCTTTCAGTCAAATTGCTGAGTTTTCAATCAAATGCTTGGAGGTTTTCAGACTCTTTTGAGCCATGGAATCCTTTGTATAACTCAGGAGACTGTAGTATATCAATCAGTAAGGAAGGAGCTGCTGCTCTGACACAAGGCAGCAGTGGGGACAGGAGCTCAGTGCAGGTCCCTCGAGGAACCATGGTTTCTCTAAAATCACGAGTAGTCATGAAGATTCTCATTCTGCTCAAAAAAGAAAAGACCCTTAAGCCTCACCCAGGTAAGCATCCCCCTTTCAAACCCATTTTTCAGGTAGGGAAACTGAGATTCAGAGCAAAGTAGAAATTTGTTCACCCAGAACTAAAACATCCACGTCAGGCTCTGCTTCCTGCCCCAGGAGCCCAGGAACCCCCAGCTAGAAAAGCTGGGAACTAGGCAGCTAAGCTGTGGGGGAGGCAAAGGCAGACCCCAGGATGGTCTATAGCACTGACTATCTCTAATTACAGATCCCTCTGCCCCTAGGCCAGCCTCTCATTCTTCTCAGAGTCATATGTGTGCCTCCAGGACAGATTTAACAGAGACTAGGGCATCTGGGGTCAGGAGTCACACCATTTGCCTAGGGGTAAACATCCTGTAAGTCAAGGGAGCAGAATTCAAACCCAGGCCTGTTCCATTCTAAAGTCCAGGTCAGGCTGCTTAATTTCACCTTAGAATCCAGACATAGAGCTCAGACCTGTCACTTTCTAGTATAAGCTAGAGTGTGTCAGGGAGGCTTCTTGAGGGAGGCAGGTCTCATTGACAGAAGTTGGGAAATGCACTGAAGGAATTCACATGTGATGTGTGCAATGCATTTGTGTCTTTGTATGTGAATATATGTATGAGTGCAGGGGCAGGTGTGTGTGTGCATGTGCGTACCAGTGCTTGGTCTTGCATGTGAAAACCTCTCTGTGGCTACTCTCTGTCTCTGTCTCTGTCTCTGTCTCTGTCCTCTTACACACACACACACACACACACACACACACACACACACACACATATACAGAGATATATAGTCATGCACATATGAACATGTGCCTATTCCACTGGGTTAATATTTTCCTGCCTGCGTCAGCAGAGTCCCACTCAGTGGGCAGCTCACTGCAGAAACGTGCCGTATCTGATCTGGTCTGGGGCTGTGGGCCTGGAACAGGGGGCTCGGGATGGGCAGGGAGCCCATTTCAGCTTCCACAGGAAAGCTACTCTCTCTTCACTCTCCTGATCAACCTGAAAAAGGAGATAGGCCTGGCAGCCTGATGTGAAGTGACTGCCCTGACTCCCCACTCACACTGGGTCTCCCTGAGTGGGGCAGCCTCCCTGCCTTCCTCTGATGAGCACGGCCAGCTGCTCCCTGAAATACCTCCC